ACAGGGAGATGGAGCCGAGTGTGACAACCAGGCTGGTGGGGCAGGAGCCTGTCCCGTGGTGCCTGAGAGAGGCGAGCAGGGCACACCCAGCGATGGAAATCAGATTATAGGAAGGAGCCAGTTCACTACATAAGTTCAGGGGCAGGGAGGCAGGTCTGAGATCAGGCCATAAATGTGAGTTAGCAAGGCATGGTCAGGGGCTGGTGTGGTTATAGTAGCCAGTCAGCCCAGCAGTGTCCCAGCAAGTCTGCAGGGACCAGGCAGGTGTGAGGTACACAGGGCTGCAGGTCTGAAACTGGATCTGCATCTGCAGCATTTGGGGCCAGGCACAGGCAGGGCTGTGATGCTGCAGGAGCTGGAGCTCAGGCAGGGCCCTCAGCACTGTAGCCTTGGCTTAAAGCAGCCCCTGTGGCCTGGGCCCAGCACCGCCCACAGCCTGTCCCCAAGGTCACCAAGGAACAGCCTGTCCCCAAGGTCACCAAGGAACAGCCCCAGTGTGCTGAGCCTGGCATCCAGCACCAAACCCTCCTGGAGCAGGGGTGCTCTCATGTGACAGGGCATGAACAGGGAACAGCACTTCAGCACTGGGTAGCATTAAGAGCTAGTGAGGTTTTGGTATTATGTGGGTAAACTTCTTAATTATAATGTGAAGAGCTTAGCCCATTTTTTTATTTCCCATAGAAAATCTGAAGAAAGATTTTTTCTTAATGCTTTATACCTCACTTAAAGCATGTGGAAGAGCTTCTGCATGTGTGAAGCTTCTGCACATAATTCTGGCTGGTAAAGAATCAAATCCAGACTATTGAGACTGTTATGCTCTAGTGATGCTGCTGTGCAGGAAAAACAATGATTTAAAAAATCAGCCTAAATCTTTCTTGAGATAGGTCAATTAACTGCTCTATAATAAAAGACACAGGAGCACTTGACAGCCTGCAGCCAAGAAAAATCAATTTCACTGAAGTCAGACATGGTACTTGTACTGACAAAAACAAATATAAATAAATGAGAAGACCAGAAGAAAAAGAATAAAGATAGGAAAGAAATGTCATTTGGGGGCCAGGAGTACACTGATATTTGCAATAATTAAGAGGTTTCTATGAGATTATAAAGCCTTTTTCCAGTTGCCACCAGATCTGTAAAACCGTTTGTTCAAAACAAAATCAATAAAATATTGTTTCTGAAGCTTTTGTGATACTGTTTCATCCCTAGAGATCCTGGTTAATTTTTACATTTAAAGAGCCTTCCAACAAAAAATTATAGTTTTGTCAAAGTATCCTGGCATTACACAAGTTGATTAAAATGTATTATTTTTGTATTATAAATAAAATATTAAGTATTATTTTATTTTGAGTGGGGACAAAATAATATTGAAATATTGTGTGGAATTATATTCACATAAACTATTTTGCATTTTCAGTCTGCAACACTCTTACAAACATAAATTTGATATAAAGAAGTAATTTAATTGCTTCAAAGATTAAAATAAGCCAAAACCTGATGTGTGAAATGTATCAACTTAGCCAAAATTATTCCATTTCAATCCTAGATTATGAGAAATTTCAATATAATTTTGTTTCATTCATTTCAGAGTAGAAAAACTTTCAAAATCGGATAGTTCTTGAAAAATCCTAAAATTCAAATTCTTATTCCTATTGCAGTAGGAGCTCTAGGCTTTGTCAGCATTCCCTGTTTTGTCAAGTCATCAAATTACAGCATCTTGTTTTTCCCTCAGGAAGTTTCACCTTTGCCAGCTCAGGTTTCTCTAACACAACCAGTGTGTTCTCCTTCCCTGGACAGGAGCTGCTGATCTGCCATATGCCAAAATCTGGGATCCCAGGCACTGCTCCGTGCCCTCACACAGAGCACCCATGGCTGCCTTTAGTGAGTCAGGGAATAGAGCACTGGGGGAACAGCCTGTCACACTTGAGGGGATTTTCAAAATGCTGTGTTTGCCCCTCTTTTCAGTTAATCACCATGCTTCTCACTTCTGCTGTACAGTCCTTTTTATTAACTGTTTGCATGTTGATTCTATTCTCACTGTGGCTCCATCAGTTTAATGACACTACTGAGACTTTTATCAACATACACAACCAGATTCTTCCCCTAAAAGAGCACTGGGGAAGAAATCAGCTTCATTAACTTGAACAGCCACAGTGAGTGAAGACAAATGGAGTGGAGCTGGTGTGAACATAAGCAGGGGAAACTGGAAAGTCTGGATGCACAGTTTTGAGCATTCCATTTGGATACTGTGTAGCCTGTTCTGCAGATGAGGCTCAGAAATGACATTTGAATCACTAATTCCCCTAACGTGGATTTGGGATTTGGGTTCAAAGACTTCTCTGATTTAAAAATAAACAGCAGAAGGGGTATTTCTCTGAGCAGTAACTGTACCTCCAGAACAGAACAACAAAGAACCAGTGGTCAGTGCAGAGTCATGAGAATTCTCTTTATTTGCTGTGGCCACTCCAACACAGAGTCCATACCCAGTTTCAGTGTCACCTGGGCCACCGCCAGTGTTTACCATAACAGAGTCCCGGTACTGATGTCCAAGATTAAATTCTTGAATTACAACAAGGAGTCTGAGGTTGTATAGTTTCTGTGTTTCCTTTGTCCTCAGGACACACCTGGATACTGCAGCACTCTCATATGGCATTGATATTATTAACAGCTGGTAGCATTTAGTCATCAGGACTCAAATCCTGCTGCTGATTCAGCACCTTTTTGCCAATCTGGTGAGTGGGCCTGCACTCTCACTGCAGCATTCTCCCTCCAGCACACCCACATGGGCAGCCTGTCTCCACACAGTGACTCTGAGATAGGACTGCAGGAAATCCTCTTAAAAACATGCCCAGGTCATGCTGAACCTCTCCATCTTCTGGCCTGGTCTCAGCTTCCAGCCAATGTGAGCAAAGCAGCTGGGCACTAACACACCCTGCATCCCTCCAGCCACACCCCAAATGCTCCTCACCTCCTCCAGGACTCTGAACTGTTACATGCTGCTTGTCCTTGTCTGGCAGAAAACAGGCCAGTGGCACAAAGAAGCCCTTCATCCAGTACTGGAGCTGAGAGGCAGATGGATTTGGACAGACAATTTCCAATTCACTTTTCAGTTTTGTTTTACAGGTTTTCAACACTTATTGATTTTATGATATGATATAATATCATCCATTAATAACTTGTTATCTGGGCAATGTTTAGCTAAAATGTGGTCTGATGTTTATTTGAGCAAACATTCCAATTTCACACAAACAAAGTTTTTATTCAGGCACAGATAAATGATGGTTAATGACCTCCAGGACTGTTGACATTATTATCTGATACTTTCAAGCCTTTACCTCAGAATATAGGTGAGGCACCATGAATTCAAACATAGGAACAGTAATGTTCAAAGGAAACAGAAGATTTTAAAAAGCAAGATCCAGACATCAAAGTTCTTAAGGTGGGTATTAAAAACAAGGTTTTTATAAAATAAAGTAAATATAAAATCTATTTTTGTGACTTCAGAACCTATCTATTGCACACACTTCATAATTAAGCATTTTCTTCTGCATCTGAGATGTAAAACTTCCCCTAACTCCATGCTTAACATCAAATTCTTAACCTCACCTTTTCCTCCAGCCTCTCAAGTCTCTCTGCAAAAGGTCAGTCTTTCAACATATCCTTACAGTCATCAATTTACAATTAGACTGTTTTTTTGTGAAAAGCAATTTGCAGCCAAAGACACTGAGGACAAGGCAAGGAATACTGATACCCTTTTTATTCCCCATATTAGTCCTCTTAAGCAATGAGACTTCTGTAACCACATTGTCAACCTGCTCACTTGACAGTTTGTCTCCTCCAAATAGCTTTTGAACTTAAGGTCTCTGAATGAAATTTGATAGACAAGGTGATAAAACTTCTACACATTAGATAAAAACTGGTGACTGATAAAGAAAAATAAGCTGCAGGCAGAGAAGGGAAGCTGGAGCTGGAGCTGCTGCTCTGAAAACCATAACCAAAGCAAATTTATCTAACATTGCATTTGTATTGAGGGCAGCCTGTTTACACACAGCACATAAAAATAAAACATGCCACATTTACATATTTTTCCATCCTACTTGGGGGAATTCCTGTTTAGTGCAGAGCCACCCCAAGAATTGCGAATCTTTTTTGGTTTTGGCATCAAGACCACCAAGATCTGAAGCTCTGGGGAATTTCAGACTGAAAAAAAGAGAAGCCAGCCCAGAATTCACCTCTAAGCAAGTGGAACCACACATATCTGTATTAGCTGGGCTCTGGCTTGGGAGCAGGAACAGGAGTGGCTGCAGAGCAGCACAGTACGAGCTGGGAAAGGCCTTGCTGCCTGCACAGGTGACTGAGCTGTGCCATGTGGTGACACCAGCTTGGGTGTGAAGCTCTCCTGCAGAGGGCAGAGAACAGTCTGCTCATAGCAGCTGTGCTCCCAGGAAACCAGGGATATTCATAAATAGTTACAGCTGTAACTTAGGAAAGGAGGAATTGGTTATTGCCTATCATCTCCTCTATGTGTCAGCTCTCCTTTTCCTATCCCTCTAGTTTAAAGTTACATTTATTATGCATTTCATACACTGCTTTTCAAATGGGAAAGATAAGCCTCTTTTTGATGTGTTCTCCCAGTGCTCTGGTTATGTTTAAGATGGATGTTTATTACCATATCCTTAAAGTTTGAATTTGGATCACCTCTTACTGTTGCAAGACAAGCCTTGGTAAAAGTCATAAACGAGGTTTTAATGCACTACGCAAGAGAAATGCCATGTTTGGATAAACATTTATATTCCTTCCAGCAATCTATTTACACAGGTGGCTTCATTAAAGCAGCACACAAAACTTAAAAGTAATAAATATAAAAACAAAATAAGTTTTTAAAAAGATATCAAACTGAAGGAGAAGTGATAAAAATACATTATCCTGACTTAAGTACAACCAATATTTAATTAACTGCTCTTACTGTGCCTGGCGTTCTTGTCAATGTTGTACTTTAATAATAGAGTCCAATCTTTCTTTTCCAAAAAAATCAAGGACAAAGCTCTCTAGAGTGGGAACAGAATATAACTTTACTTCCACAGTCAATTTTGCAGGAATTGCACATTTCCACTGTTTATTCATACTGTTTCAATTACATACATAAAATATACATAAGCTATGGTCAAAAAAATGATGAGTGTCACAATGAACAACCTAGAACAGAAGAGGAAAAAAAGAACAATCTGCAAACAACAGACAGCTAAGGGAATTATGTTATAAATCACCTAATCCAATGCCTTTCTTCAGTATCACTGCCCATTTAAGAAAACTAACCAGTATTGTAATAAATGAACTGAGGTGCAATTTGGAACACAACAATAATGGGAATTTTATTTTTAACTGATGAGATATATTTCAAATGTCTTTGATTATTTACACAACATTTATTTCACTGCTTTTTTTTCCATCTTCTGTAAAAGTTTCTGAGTAATTATAATGAAATATTGTAAAACCAAACCAAAAGAAATTCCCTTTTTCATCAGAACTGTTGTACATCCATCCCAGTATCCATCTCTCCCAGTGGCAAAAGACAATTGTGGTTAGAAGAAGCTTATGGCCTGCCTCTCTCTGCAAACCATTCCTCTTGTACTTTTCCAACACCCAGAATCATTGTACCAGGGACTTTAAAGGGTAATCTTCTGCTGAGTCCTTTTCATATCCAGGTAAGCACCTTCTGCCCATGAACTTTTCTAAGCAATTTCTGCCCCCAATAACCATATCTGCATCCAGATCTTTTTCTGTGGCAACAACTTCCACAAGAGGGGGGAACTGGTTTTAAACATTTTAATCCTACTCATGATGTTTTTGGGTGACCTTGGTTCTAATATTTTAAGATGCTCCATTTTGCTTATCTATCACCAGAGAACTGTTAGGTGTGTCCTGAACTAACTGTGAATGAAATCTACTGCTTCAGCTCAGTCCATTTTAAAACATGGTTTCTCAGACAACAGACATGCTAAGAGGTGGATTCTTTTTTTAAATAAAGATTAATGAAATAAGGTAACTGTTAAAGATGATAATTCACTGTATTTCTGAAGGTTTCTCAAAAAAATAAGTGAAAATTCCCTTCACAGACAAAGATGTAAATCCAAGTCATAGAATCATTGAATGCTTTGGGTTGCAAAGACCTTAATGATCATCTAGTTTCCAGCCCCCAAGTCAATTATACAGCCAGCACCTTTTCTGTGAGAAGCTAATCCAATCTTCACATCAACCTGGATTTGGAAAATTCCTCATCTGAGTCTGACCTTGTAGTTTTGGACTCATTTTGCATTTTTGTATTTTCTTATTCAGTGTTTGAATTTTGTATTCCATCTTCAGCCACTCCCTGACAAGCAATTACTGTCATTTAAGATTGTCTTAAACTATCCTGAATAAAAAAATTTGAATACAATGAGACAACATCTCATCCTTTCTGCTTAGGAGAGGATATTGGCATATCCCTGAAAGGTATAAATCTTACTAGGTACTGCATTATTTTATTAAATACAAAATTTACCAGCAATTCTCTAAAGGAGTCTATGAAGGCTATTACAGCCAAAAAGCACACAAAACTGCTCAGGCTGAGAATGAGAAGGAAGTTTTATGTAACTTTTTTCCATACCTAGATTACATGGGTATTAGGCCAGTCAGTCCCTTTCTGAGTATTAGTCTGAAATTATGTAAAGGTGATAGTAATCTTTTCTAAATTTTATTGAGCTGGAGGAGAAGCAGGTACTCACATAGCAGCTACAGACCACCAGCCAGCAGTGCACCTTGAGCTATGTCCTTTTTCCACATCTGAGTGAATTCCTTATTTCCCTGTCACTAGTTGCCTGGTAGTTAAGGATCTGTAAAAACAGGGGTATGGATATAGCCATAATTTGACCACAAATACTTCAGCATATTTTCAGTTTAACTGTTTTAATAGTAAACAGAAGACCAAGATTATATAATATCTGCACATATAAACTGGACCTTCTTACTGCCAGGCTCAGCCTTATGCTATTAAAAGTAAATACTTTCCATGGTAAAGTACCATTGCACAATGCCTGCTTAAAGAATCACCAATAGGCCCTTTGAAGGGTAGTCCAGAGGGTGTTATAAAGCCTACTTTCCTCAAAATCTACTCAATCACCATATAATCATTTACTTGCTGTTTGCAAATGTTAATCCAGGGTCAAGGTAATGGCTGTCTGACATGACACTTAAATTTAAAGCCATGCCCTTTTAGCATTCATTTACAACTTTGGTGGGCTGCTCTGATTTAAAAGCAAGCTGGCTTTATCAAGGCATGGGCATAAGTGACCTAACACTGCAAACAAAATGCTGCTTCTAGTTTCAGCTTTTTTTCTAACACTACTGCAGTGCTCTAATGCCCAAATTACACCTGCAGACTGTAACACCATTGAAACAGATGCAAGAGTGGCCCTGGATTTGGTCAACAGACATCGCAGAGATGGTTATGTTTTTGGTTTATTCCGTGTTGCCGATGCACATGAACTACATTTAGTAAGTATGAACTTAAAGGCTGATTTACACAAGACTGTGATTTTTAAATGTTTAATGAGCCAGGTCATTAAGAGCTTATGTTTATTGCTTTTACTAGAACAATGTTGATGTAATCCAATGAATCAGCTGTGATTTACACCATCTCAATATTCATTTGTGTATGACTTATTGCACATAAGCTTGATTTCAAACAATGCCAAATGGCCTCTCTTCTCTTGGTCAGAAGGATGTTTGCATAAGAGATGCTCTGAACAGCTTTATACAACTCTGGAAATTAATCTGTCCTGTCTGCTGTCTGGTGTCAGATGTTATACTCAAAATTTATATTCAGGTTTCTTTAATCTATGAATGCCTAACATTAATTAGACCAATGTACCCTGCAAGACTGGTATTTTGTTATTATCTTAATTTCAGAGATAGCTGAATAAACTGGTGGAAAGGGAAAAAGGCAGAGGAAGTCAAAGGAGTTTGATTTTGTTACTCTGGAGTTTTCATTTTGTTACTCTGCAAAACTGGAGAGGGACTGGATAGAGAATATCTATCGGCCATTTCCTATTTCCTTCCTATTTCTATTTCTGTTTCCTAGAGAAGATACATAAGCCTTTCTCAATGACTGTTGAAATGCCAAAACAAATCAATAGCAGAAAAAGCAATAGAATAAAAATGTCTTTAACTAGTACATAAAAGAGACCAAGGACAGGCAGATTTACCAATCCATCCACCTGGTAGCTTTTAGCTGCTTGACTAAGATATTGGTATCCAGGCACACATCCATCGTCCAGAAGTCTCAGTATGGCAACAGAAAAAACAGGCCAGTTTTTGATGGAGCTTCTTAGTACTGCCTGTAAGGACAGGTACAGACTCAGAAAGTGACCCAAAGCCCAGGTTATCACAGGTCTTCAGGTACACCTGCAAAAAAACCTGATGGATTATTTTGCTTTTCAAAGACAAGAATGCAGCAAGTTATATATTGTGTTCTACATAGTAGCCAGGCAGCTAAAGAGCTTAATCTAGGAAGGTTCTCCTCTGCAGTTATGTGCATGCCAACCCTCTGAAGTGGTACCACCAGGCAGCAAGACATGCAAAATGCATTGGATTCATGATAAAAAACCAAGTTGTGTCTAAAAAGAAAAATCTCAGTGTTTCTACATTTTAAGCAACAATTGTCTATATAAAGTATAAACCATAACTTGGAATATGGGCTAATGCTGAGGATCCACACTTCCAGATGAATGCTATAAATACTAGAATACCATGTTTATGATTTGCTTTGTACCCTTAATGAATTTTGCCATCTTTGCAGTCCAGGGCCACAGCTTCAGGTGTCACACAGTGTCTACAAGAACAGAAAAGGCACTTCTGAGTGCTAAAGAATCCTCCCTGTAAGGTTTCTATATCTTCTCAGACCCGAAGCCACCAGATGTGACCTCCTGCACACTGATCATGTACACTATTGTGCAAGAATTCTTTTTTGCTCCACTGCCAAGATAACAATAAGAATACGAATATATTAAAAAGGAAAAAAAAAGACCAGAACATTTTTTTTGTTTCTCTATCCAATAGTGTGCAACAGGTTTGTCACATCAGCCCCCTCAGAAATCTAAGCAGGGCAATTCCAGACAAATCTCTACTGGGTTTACACAGGAACTCTAGAAGCATAAGATACTCAAGTATTCACAACAAAACAGTTCTGGACTTGTGCAGAACTGTAGTGACTAAAATGCTTTTAAAACAACCAAAAAGGAACCATTTTTTTCCTCAAGAGCTATTGAGCAGATAAACAGAGGAATTTTCTCCTGCATATTTGGAAGTAGACACTTAACCCCTATTTTAAAATCGGAGACAATGCTAAGATACACAAATATTGCAAAACCAGCACTTAACATGACATTGGTGGGCTCTCACTAATGAAAATATTACACTAGACTGCAGCAATTCTTTCACAAGGTCTCATCTCTACAGAAACACTGAAAAAGGAGCCTGAATGGATGTAACTTCATAAAATGTGAGGACACTTACAGTGAAGGGCTTTGTATGACTTCATCTAAATGACAAAATACATGTGTTTATTCTGAATGTCCATACAAGGGCTGAATAAAATTTAAATTTTCCACTCCAAAACTGTTTCTGTGGGTCACAGAAAATTCTTAGCATGATATCCCATTACACTGCCATCCAAGTTCAAATTTTAATTCTGCTAATCCTATTTGCTCAGGAGACAGAACATAGTAGAAGAGTTTCAGAGTTAAGGATTCTGATTGGGATTATTAGAGTTTTATTGCATAACTCCCTGAATAAACTGAGCAGGAAGCAAACTCTGAAAGAGTATCTGGTCACTAAGGTAATTTGAAATGGATGTAGATACATAATTGGACGCCTGATGTCCTAATAGAACAGTATGTTCTGTGGGAAAATCAGAATGAGGGAATGGCAACCTTTTAACACTGGCATTTTCCCTACTTGATGAATGTCAGATTAACAACAGACACTTCTCGCAGGTTATCAACAAAAGGATAAGAGGCAACAGTTGTTAGTTGCAGGTGGGGAAATTCTGACTACATATAAGGCTAAAAAAAATCATGGAGAAAGTTGTTGAGTACTAGAATGGCCCAGAGAGGTTGTGGAATGCCTGTCTTGGTGATATACAGAATGTAGCTGAAACTTTGAAGTTTCAGCTTTGCCTTGAGCAAGTGGCTGGACAAGATGACATCCAAAGATCCCTTCCATGAACCCTTTCTATGCTTGTCAGCTCTGAAAAGCCTTAATAGAGAACTGAAGAAGCTTCACTAAAGGTTAAACATATTGACCTCAACAAAAGTTTCTTTCAGATCAAGCTTCTTGCCTACAAACTCTTTTTCACTTGCACTTCTCTTCCAGGGAAATTCAACAGTCCTCTACTTAACTTTGGATGTGCTGGAAACTGAATGCTCTGTCTTATCCAGAAGACACTGGGAGTCCTGTGAATACAGTGACACCTACCCAATGGCAAGTAATGGCATCTGCACCAAATCATACACAATAATGCACTAAATTTATCTTCTTCTGAACTGTCCAAAAATTTGTGCCACAAAATCTCTCAGTGAAGACTGGGCTTTAATGTCGCTCATTCTAAACCAAAATCTATCTAATTCTAGAATTGCTAAATATATGCTAAAGGCTTGGGAAAGGATTGACTCTTCAAATAACTATAGCTTTATTTAACTTGTTGTCTCAAAGGAACAATGCTCCACATTCCACCGCTTGTAGCAGGATTTATGTTTTAAGGGTAATTTGCTGACAACTGAAGGGCACTAGAAATTATTTTTTAAACATGTTCCTGGTATATGAGCCAGAAATACCAGTGGTATATTTTGTCAGTTTTCTGTCATAGGATTTGTGGTATGACAGTGTGAAATACTGGTAGTGTCAGTACATGAACGATTGTCCTTCTTTTTGCACTCCAATGATGAGCGCTCCCAAAACTTTAAGTAGGAGAGTTGTGATACTATGACAAAATATAAAACAGAAAGGCTACGAGGAGAGAATAGAAAGCATTTATTTTTTTTTTAATGGAGGAAAGGAATGGATGAAAAGTCCATCCACTTTTGACAAAGATTTGTGTAACCTGGCATTCTAACTTTCCCTGCCATCTTGTCTTATCCTACTCTAAGTATCAGGATGACTAAGAAAGCTAGTTTGGTTTTCCATTGTCTACTCTATCGTGCAAACTGAGAAGTAAAATAAAGGCTCTTGTAGACAGAGATCCCATTTTATCTGAAGACAAATTTTGAGTGGTACCTGATCAAACATTCCATTAATGACCACATATGTTATTCTTAGAGGTACTGCACATTAAAAGCAGGTATAATTTCTATGATAGCCTACATCCAATTAAGTCCAGCGAAAATAACATCATAATCATGTATTCTTTTTTCCTCTCAGGACTTTGGGCAATGTAAGATTATCACATATACAAACCATCTGCTGAAGAAACCTCAACTATATGGATTTAATTGTACATTAAGTCCAGGTAAAATAACCACTGCTGTAAGCCAATGCATACCTCAAACCAGCCCTCGTACCAAAATCAGTACACTACCAGTGTATGGAAACCATAACAGATTCATTCATCTGCTTGTAATTCATATTTTAGATAATTCAAATGGAATGTTAAGAATGAGTAATAGAATTAAGGTTACCCTACTCCTCTAAACCAGACTTTATTGATGTCAGATGATATTACCATTCCAGTCCACCAAAATATGATAATGAATATGAGAACAAATACAAACTCTGGAAGACTGCACATTTAGGGTGGTAAGATTCTAAGGTGATTTATAAGAATAGTCAGTTTCATGGGTTTGGGTTTTTTTTATATTACAGGACAAACCCATATTTGTGGAGCAAGAGACAGGTATTTCACTTCCAAGGAAAGTCTGCATTTAAGTTTCTCATTATGAGTTCACATTAAGGCATAGGCACACTCCCAAGAGTATTAATACCAACTGCAATATTAGTAAATTATTTGTTTTCACAGTTCCACCTGATGTGGTAGAGTGCAAAGACTGTCCAGTGAAACTTGAAGCCTTAGAAGTCACTGAGCAACATAGAGATATTGCTAAAAAGGCCCTGAAGAAATTCAACAGTGAAGGTAACCACACGAACAACTTTGCTGTGGATAAAGTTGAAAGAATTTTAAAGGTGGTAAGTGGCATTTTCTCTTAGAATTACTTTGAAATGACACAATTTTGTGAGCAACTCCAAGACAATGGGACCAAAACTCAAACCCTTCTAGGATCAGATCTAAGTTGAATGTCCTACTTTGGCAAAGACTTGTTATTAACTTCAGTTTAGATGTGTGAAAGAAAAAGGATTTCTTATTTGCTAGAGAACTATGGCCGTGTGATGACATTCAGAATGTAAGGCCTTCTTTGTGGACATATTTTAAGTTTGAATGCCTAATTACCTATCATGACATACATGAGTTTATTTACTACAGAGCAGATTTCAAGGTGGACAATCATGTATTATCACAGTCACATATTTTGTCAGTTGCAGACAATTTTTTACTCTTAGAATACTTAGCACATGGGTACAACAAACAGTGGAACATGCTCAGCATCATTTTGTCTCTTGATGCAGAGCAAAGCAGCACACTGAGGACAGGAGGTGAATTTGTGCTGTAACACTTGAAGAACTTCAGGGTCTGGTAAATATCTCCATATCTAAGTGATGTCAACATGAAGACTTATCCTTTGGGTGATTTGAAGTATATTAATAACAAAATTTCTTGCTGGTAGATACTGGAGACTTTCACTTAAACAGCATGGGATCATTCTGCCAACACATGTGTCAGCTCAGGACACCTCAGTAATGAGGTCCCATGGCTCCCACCATAATACATGCTGATCTTGGAAACTGCCTAAATGATAGCATGCCAAACCCACCTCCCTGCAGCTTTTAATATTGCTCAGAAACCTGACAGTATCCCACACTGTAGCCCTGTGCACAATGTATCCCTACTGCCATTTAGAAAGGGATTGTTTTCACATTGCCTGGGTTTGTGTGTTTCCCTCCAAACACTTTGTTTTCACACTTCACCATGTTCAGCTACAGCAACACTTTACATTGTACCACTGGATTTTAATGCTCAGAAACTATGAATTACAATAAAAAACCATACCATAAAGTACGCGCACACACTTTTAACCAATTTAGTTAAACTAGTGAAACTCATGTGTGCACACATGCTAAGGACACCTTCAACACAGACTTGAAATAAAAGTACTGCTATAGTTGGAAATTAAAATGAAACACCTCTTTATGGATTTTAATAGGATCACAAAGGCTTTCTCCCATGTTCATATGGAGTAAGGCGTTCTCCATAACTAATGCCCTTGACAAAAGAGAAAGCAACATTCTCACAGTAACTAGCAGAATTTCACCTTAAATTAACAGCAGCACTGTAATACACTCACATCACTGGAAAGGGGTGGTTGCCATCCAATAGATCTCTACTTTCACAGGAGCAGCAGTTCAGCTTAGGGAGAAGACTCTCAGGACACTACTTCCTAAAGTCACAGGCTGTAAAAGTAACAGGTTTTATAACATACACATACTAAACAAAGAATTAAAGCAAGCGTTCCTAGAAGTTGCAAGAGTGTGAGATATAAATTATCTAACCTGTTTTCCTTGCTGAATATGTGTATGTGCATGAACAGTTGAACAGGACAGGTAAGGAAAACATGAGGTAGATGGGATTTTGACAATAAGATGATGTATGGTTGCTCTGAAAATGACAAGACTTTAAATACACTTAGTTACCACTTCTTCTTTGACCTCTTGGTTTCAGACTGCCTCCCGTGAAGGTCACATTTTGGGATTCTCTATAAAAGAGACCAACTGTTCCAAATCTATGCAGGAAACAGATCAGGCATTGGAATGTGATTTTCTGCATGACTGGCATGCTGTAAGTAAAGTCATAGGATGAGAACTGATATAATGGGTGGTACCAAGAAGATTCTACCAATATATATTCAAGTGTTTATTATAAGCATGCATCCAAACTCAAAACCAAAAATCCAGCATGTTCAAGCCCAAATCCTAATTTTACAGCTGCTCCTTAACCTTTTATAAGGAAACAGTCTGAACTCTCAAATCTTAATGTAACTGGAATCTGGCATATTAGAGGCCTAGAGTTTTTCAGGTTATATCTGGTTTTTGCATTCAAATTGTAGCCAATTCCTATCAAATCATTCATGCTATGTCCATAAAAACTTTTACACCAATGTGAGTCATAGATCCTGAAAAAAATATATGTCTTATGTCATCCCAGTGAACTCAGGGTCACTTTTTTCTCTGCTGCAGAGGAACAGAGATTGGAATAATTCAATCCCATCTGCAGAAAACTATCCAAGTATTCTATTCACCCCATTTTTCCATTACTATTATAGTCTACACCAAAGAAACAGTTAGGCAAGATCTCATAATTTCAGAATAAATTATTCTTCAGAAACTAAAATGAAATAATGAAATAAAACATGGAAAAAATAAAATATGTAAAACTTTTGGTTTATATATATCCATCACCTTCTCTGGCTTTTTATATTCCAGAAGAATGGAAAAGGCTGTGAATTAACTGGTAAGGGAGCCACAAATTCACTAGTACAAAGGACAACACAGATGGCTATAGAGAGTTTAAATTCTGTTCTCAGTGCTGCCATCGCTGCTGTTTGTGTGTAAAATGCCATTACCATTTGTAGTCACTGATCATAATGGGCTACTAATGGCCCAAACAAATATCAAGATAAAGCACCCAGTACAGAGAGCATAAAGAGAACCCATCACCTGAGTTCTGTGCTCTTTCACATGAGCAATTGCACACACAATGACTGGACAGCAGGAGAAAGTCACAGCAAACAGGATGCTAAGGGAAGTAATGCAAAAAAATTAAACCATATTGTTTTTTAAAAAAATAAATGGAAGAAACTTCTGCCTTGAGCTTTGTCTGAAGCAACATAGCGACACAATGCCGGATTTTGAGACTTGAATTACAGAATAGTCCAATCTGAACAGATGTTTGACAAGAAAAGACAGGAAAAAAAAAAAAAGAAAAAAAATCAGGCACCCAAGGATACTCATTTTGGAGGCATTAATAGCTGGCCAATCTCTTAGACATCAAAAGGGAAGCAAGATGCAGAGTAGTAGACCTCTAGGTGCACATGGTGAAGTGCATCTAGAGTACATCACAGTCAGGAATGCTCAAAAATGGCACGTATTTGAATCATTATTAAACACTGGTAAACATTGGTTGGAAGGCTCAGGATCTGGCTAAGTTATGTGAACACACTTAGATGTCAAAGGAATAGCCTAACTTGTAAAATGTTGAACATTCAGCAGTTTATATTAATTCCATCACAAGAACCCAGATGTGCATTGTGGGTCTTTTCCTTGTCTTTTTCTTAGCACACCGGATTCTGCAAGGCAAGAATTATCAGTGATGCAGACAAAGCTGATGGAACAGATATAAGCTGTGAAATCTACCATCCCTGGGTATGTACTCAGTTATGGACACATCTTTGGCTGCATCCTTGTGCAGGTTACAGCAACCTTGCTTAGTCCAGACTGGCAGATGATGGTAACATGCCAATATTGCCTGCGGGTGATGCAGCGCATCAGGACGGACTGACCTGCAAGTCCTAGGTCAGTCAAAGGATGAAACGGAATTGAGCTGTCCCTACTACTCCTTCCAAGTGTGTCTTCTCTCAGTTCAATCACCTGACTAAGTATAAGTGAGAGATTGGCAAGCAAGTTCAAAGAAATTTTAGAAAACAATAGGAGGGGAGATGATCTTTATCATATTTGGTATTCCAGTTTACATCACAACAGCTATTATAAACAGTGTGGATTTATTTTGTTTTGATCTATCACAAATATTTCTCAGCTGCTTATATAATTTTGGCATCATGTAGCGTTTCCAGCAGATTTTCAGTAACTTGGCATGTTATTATCTACTCCTTCTCCTCCATTGTGAAAAAAATGCAGATTTTTTTTCCTTGAAGATCATCAGGCTATGAATGCAAACCTCTCTCTTGCTCATCAATTTCTTCTGCCCTATCAACACCTGATTAATACTTTCTCCCTGGTGTTTTTATAAACAGCACCATGGCTGTGGGCGAAGAGGGAAATATTCAGCTCTGGGACATCCACACAGACATCCCCATTGTCATCATCATTTTGGTCACAGACATCGCCATAAGCATCACCACAGACATGAATGTCCTCCCTTTTCTCAGTCCAGACCTGAAGACCCTGAGCATAACCCCAAATCCAGCAAGGAAGATCAAGACAACAACAAAGGATTTTCTTCTCCCCCTCCTCCCCATGATGAACCAGACCACCACCATCCTACTCCCCCTTCTCATGGACCAGATCATGACCATCCTCCTCACCNGTGGTAATGTGAAGTTTCATTATTGTTTAACACAAGGATGACAATTTCCATTTGTTTATATAATTTCTAAAAGTAATTACTTTTTAAAAAATCATTCTGGAACAAAAATCAGTGTTCCATGTCTAAAAATTCTGAAACAGAACATTTAGATATGTTTATAAAGGAACCTTTCCATTTCTCATTGATGCGTTCCCATAGAAAGTCTCAATTATTACAACACAGCACTCTCGGATGGAAGAATCTGTGTGAAAACTCCTGACCAGACCTGCTCCAGCTGAGCTGCTGAAGAGCTCGGCAAAACTCCCGGCTTCTCCTCCGGCCGGAATCATGCTGGAGCGCTTCATCCAGGGCCCGCAGCGCCTAACGAGCACTTTCCTCCTTGGCCAGCAGATGGCCCATTTTTTATCACAGGGCGTACAATCGCCAAATTTTTTCAGGTTTGTCATTGCCAGGAATGGTTGAGCAGGCTTAACGCTCAGCGTTTCTTCTGGGTGAGTAACACTGTAGCTGAAAACACCCCATCTGTGCCATCTTTTTTAAATATTAAGCTCTAGCAATAGAGCTTCGACACTTACCAGTTAGTTACTATAAGTAAAGTGTATAAATTACACTCTAAATGTAATTTCATGAATATGAAAAACAAGGGCTGCTCCCGCACCTGAAAAATTGCATTCTTACTGATACAGAAAATCGGAACTAGGAGCCTGGGGTATGAAAATATGTCTGAATTAAACCTCTGTTTGCTCGTACTGCTGACATCCACAGCCACATAATGGCCATTCTGCAGCTGCCTGAATTTCATGTGCTCCCTCCCTTGTTCATTCCATCTGTGACAATGGGACAAAACATATATTTTAACTGGCCATAAGAAAAATTCCTCAGCTGGATGGACTATTGGATTCTTGCCATAATTCAGACATGACCCTTTCATCACACTCAGCAGTTCCAATCGTCCTCTAGTGCTATGTTCACACAGCATAAGCCATGGGAGAGAGCTGTGTAAACACCTGACATCAGAATATGGTTCAGGATCTGGCTAAGTTATGTGAACACACTTAGATGTCAAAGGAATAGCCTAACTTGTAAAATGTTGAACATTCAGCAGTTTGTATTAATTTCATGACAAGAACCCAGATGTGCATTGTGGGTTTTTTCCTTGTCTTTTTCTTAGCACACCGGATTCTGCAAGGCAAGAATTATCAGTGATGCAGACAAAGCTGATGGAACAGATATAAGCTGTGAAATCTACCATCCCTGGGTATGTACTCAGTTATGGACACATCTTTGGCTGCATCCTTGTGCAGGTTACAGCAACCTTGCTTAGTCCAGACTGGCAGATGATGGTAACATGCCAATATTGCCTGCGGGTGATGCAGCGCATCAGGACGGACTGACCTGCAAGTCCTAGGTCAGTCAAAGGATGAAACGGAATTGAGCTGTCCCTACTACTCCTTCCAAGTGTGTCTTCTCTCAGTTCAATCACCTGACTAAGTATAAGTGAGAGATTGGCAAGCAAGTTCAAAGAAATTTTAGAAAACAATAGGAGGGGAGATGATCTTTATCATATTTGGTATTCCAGTTTACATCACAACAGCTATTATAAACAGTGTGGATTTATTTTGTTTTGATCTATCACAAATATTTCTCAGCTGCTTATATAATTTTGGCATCATGTAGCGTTTCCAGCAGATTTTCAGTAACTTGGCATGTTATTATCTACTCCTTCTCCTCCATTGTGAAAAAAATGCAGATTTTTTTTCCTTGAAGATCATCAGGCTATGAATGCAAACCTCTCTCTTGCTCATCAATTTCTTCTGCCCTATCAACACCTGATTAATACTTTCTCCCTGGTGTTTTTATAAACAGCACCATGGCTGTGGGCGAAGAGGGAAATATTCAGCTCTGGGACATCCACACAGACATCCCCATTGTCATCATCATTTTGGTCACAGACATCGCCATAAGCATCACCACAGACATGAATGTCCTCCCTTTTCTCAGTCCAGACCTGAAGACCCTGAGCATAACCCCAAATCCAGCAAGGAAGATCAAGACAACAACAAAGGATTTTCTTCTCCCCCTCCTCCCCATGATGAACCAGACCACCACCATCCTACTCCCCCTCCTCATGGACCACACCACCATCCTCCTCACCACCATGGACCACCCTGTCCCCCTCCTCATGGACCAGATCATGACCATCCTCCTCACCACCATGGACCACCCTGTCCCCCTCCTCATGGACCAGATCATGATGTCCCCCTCCTCATGGACCAGATCATGACCATCCTCCTCACCACCATGGACCACCCTGTCCCCCTCCTCATGGACCAGATCACCACCATCCTCCTCACCATCATGGACCACACTGTCCCCCTCCTCCAGGACACCCTCCTCATCACTGCCATCACTATCACAGACAACATCACAACAAGACAAGCATATCAGGAAAGTATTTTCCATGCCATGTAACAGGAGCTGTCTATCGCATCCCAGTTCTAAATCAGCAGGATTCTCTCACACCTCCCACTGCAAATTTTCCTGAACTATCCCAATGCAACTTTCACTTTTCCAGCACTGGCTCAAAACTAAAGGAGATGGAAGAAGCTTCAGGCTTTCCAGATCACCCTGCACAATCAAAATCATGCCCTGGAAAACCCAAACTTGACCTTCCAAAAATTTTGCCTTTATTTCCTCATAGCTTTGTAACAGAAAATTCTCCTATATGACTTCAGAGAAAGATGTTCCTGGCTTGATAATTTCAAGGGTAATCACAGTCCTACAGTCAATGAAAGCAGCACATGGAGAAGTGGGAAGAGCATTCAGCTTCTAGGAAGGAGAATCACTGAAAATAATCATTAAGTATTTCAACCTGCTTCTTCATCCTAGCTATCTCAAGCTGCACTGTAACTAAAAGGCCCAAAATTCTGAGTCCCTCAGATAATGTGAATAGGTAAAAATTTCCCCAGAAAATAATGCTCCTCCAGGACTAAGGAAAAAGAAAGTTCTCCAATAGTGCAAAATAGAGCATCAAAAATCTTGCATTTTTTTCATCATTCATAATTATAATGTACTTCTCCAAGGAATCTGACCTAGAGGAAATTTGAATGCTTTCCATAAAAAGTAATCCATGACACTACATTTAAGCTTTATACAGATTTTAAAAAAATAAAAAACATGCAAGCATTTTTTTCTTGACACAGTTGTCTGTTTCATTTTTGGGTTTTTTTTTTACAACACGTAATTAGGTATTAGATATTGAACTAGAAATTGTATTAAACTATTAAGCTATTTTGGTATTAAACATCCACAAAGCAAACTCTACCACAAATTGACTAATGGTGTTTGGGTTAGCACTTTCTCTAGAAGAGGTCTGAGAACAGTTAATGACTTGCTGTCTCACTGCAGGGTGGCCTGCACAGGTGCTTCCATCGCTACAGCTGCTGGTGGTGATACACAGAAATATTGCAGTCAAGGACAGCCCTTCTCAAATAGTTCATAATTGCTCTCAGGGGAAGAGAAAAGCAGATGCATGTAGTAACTCTTCCATGTAAATGTTTTCTTTATTGCTAAACCTTCCTCACTGGAAACTGAGTTGGCAGGAGCAGGAAGAAGGAATAGTGGTGCCTCTTTATACTCCAGCCCCCATCAAGGTTGAGTCCATTCAGATTGTCCGGGCACAAGCAAGCTGGCTCAGAATAGCTATGTCATAAGCAAGAATATGGGATTAATCTCAAAAAAGTAATTTGATTGTCCAAAAAGCTTTTTAATGGCATAAAGTCAAACACGCTGCAAGGGCCACATTGAAGAAAAAGAAAGAAAATGAGGATTCAGTGTGACTGAGTGAAGATTGACTAATTTTTAAAAGTATCTTATTATGTATGAACAGACTTATTTCTGGTGTAGTTTAGCCACAGTCTCTAAAGTGCATTTTCTTTAATCAAAACTTGTAGCAAATGTGGTGATCTGGTCCTGGCTGGGTGCCAGGCACCCACTAAAGCTGCTCTGTCACTGCCCTCCTCAGCCAGACAGGGGAGAGAAAATACAACAGAAGGCTCATGGGTCAAGGTAAGGACAGAGAGACAACTCACCAAATATCATCACAGGCAAAACTGACAGAACTGGGGGAAATTGGTTTATTACTAATCAAACAAGAGTAAGGGAATGAGAAATAAAGTCAAAAATTTAAAATGCCTTCTTCCCAGGCTTAAATTTTCTCCTGATTTTCTCTACCTTCTCCCCTAGTTGGTGCAGGGGAATGGGAATTGCAGTCAGCTCATCACATGTTGCTTCTGCCCTTCCTTTTTCCTCAGGATAAGGACTCCTTACATCCTCCCTTGCTCCAGCTAGGGATCCCTCCCATTGGAAGCTGTTCCTCATGAACTACCCCAGTGTAGGTACTTTACATGATGTGCAGTCCTTTAGGAACAAATTACTTCAGCATGGGTGCTCTCACAAGTCCTGCCAGCAAACCTGCTCCAGCACAGGCTTCCACAGGGTCATAGCCTCCACTGGACATCCACCTGCTCTGGCATGGGGTCCTCCATGAACTGCTGGTGAATCCCTGCTCCACCACTGACCTCCAGGGGCTGTAGGGGCACAGCTGCCTCACCACTGGTCTGCTCCATAGGCTGCAGGAAAATCTCTGCTCCATACCCACAGCAGCTCCTCCCACACCTTCTTCATGGGCCATGGGGTTTGCATAGCTGTTTTCCTCACATACTCCTCTCTCCTGTCCTTTCTCAGTTCCCCGTTTTTTCCCCTTCTCCACTATGTTCTCCCACAGGCACTACCACCAGCACTGATGGACTCAGTCTTAGCCAGAACTGGATCCATCTTGGAGCTGACTGGCATTGGCTCTGTCAGACATAGCAGAACCTTCCTGCAGCTTCTCACAGAAGCCACCCCTGTAATCCCCTGCCGTCAAAACCTTGCCACGCAACACAATACAGCAAGACACAGCTGGAATACAGGAGCTGAGGCAATCCCAAGGTGTTCACAGATCCAAAGCAAAGCTATTTGGTGCCAAACATGGGAGACAAATACCAGATGTTCTCAGCCAGCTCTAACCCTGGTTTGGCTAGGCTCAGACAACAGTGTTTAATCCTTTGTTCTCGGGTGTCACATATCTGTAACGATAACAAAGCACTATGATCACTGACTAATCCATAGCCCAGGCAGTCTCCATATGGCAGCAGAGATGGACTTTCCAATAGGTCTAGTAGGATCATGAAGGACAAGGTTTATCAAGTGCTATCGAAGGGTTACGTGACGTTCAACCATATGCATCAGTCCAAAGACTTTACAAACGCTTCCTGAGTACTGTAATTCTCAGAATTGTTGCAGCCTGAACACTAAGCAGATCTGTAAAATTTACAAGGTTGTTGTCCAAAACTTCATTGTCACTGTGACCTTCTTGAGTGTTTTATTTAAGCTTTGTAAAATTCATTCTCAGTAGCAGTTTAGATGCTAAGAAGTCAGAAAGCTACTTCTTTCTCCTTTGCTTTGCCTAAAGTGGTCGCCAGCTGCAGCCATTTATCCTGTTATCTTGATGGCAGGTGGATAACCTTAGTGTTTATTTAGATAAACTCAGAACTTTATTTGCAGTATAAACAGGGTAGGATGAGAACCAACCAACCCCAGCAACCCACTCGTTCTGTTTACTTAACTATTGCTTCTGAAAAACAGAAGAGGTGACTAAAATCCTGTCAGGCATTCCTTTTCCATTTGGTTTTTAAAGAGCTTCCTAATTCAGGGGGCCTTTTTCATCCAATTATGAAGGCCTTCATTGTACTAGCACTCTGCTGTAGTTTTTTCTCTAGCAGAGCCATTCCTCTTGCATCTGAGTCTTTGGACTGTGATGACCCTGATGTCTTTAAAGCTGTTGATGCAGCACTGAAGAAATTCAATGGAGACAGAACAACTGGTAACCAATTTGCTCTATACATGGTGATGGAAGCCAAGAGAACTGTAAGTAGACTTTGCAAAAAAAAAAAAAAAAAAAAAAAAAAGTTGGAATTGTTTATGCACTCTGAATCAGCTTATCTCCGTCTCATTTGTAAGCGGGAAAGCATGATAGCGTCTTCCAAAAATGTTTTAAAAAAATCAAAGTGACTTGCACGGTAAGATACTTGTTCCCATGACAAGCAGGGATCTATAGTATGTTTTTATCAGCAGAACCCTGTGTGCTGGTGAATTGCTTACTAATGCTAGGACTAAAGAATAGAAAACTTCTATCACCAACAGTATTTGTCTTACTATTCTGCTCTGTTCCCTTTTTCTTTATTGGGAATTCTACCCCTTTGCATCATCGGTAAGGTTTTCAGATCAATGGCAAAACCATACTTATTAAAAAATATGAATATAATCTTGACTTGGAAAGAGCTGGTGCTGAGCATAAAAAAGAATCGCCTGATAAAGTTTGGCAATATTCTGAATTATTTATGAATATTATTTGATTGACACCAGTCCTAAGTCAGAGATCTATCTAGAAGCTCTAGGTGGTATTTTAGTCAAATAGGGTGACAGCTAAAATTACAGAAGAAAGAAGAATGCAACATGATCCTGTGCCTGGAGTCCTTCTATATAGCCTTAATCTAACAAAAGAGTATTTACCTCGGAGAGGCATACAAAGATAGTATTACCATAATAATGGCAAGCATTATCTTACTTGAAAATAACATTAGCATTTTTTTCAACTGGATTGGATTTTCAGATGTAAACCACAAGAAATCCAGTGTTAGTGAGAATATTTTGCACTCCAAAATCACAAGACACTTTTACCCAGATAGAAATTGACCTCTGAAAGGAGCCATGCATTGCTAAACACATTCAGCAAACTACCCACATCGCCTGGCATCTACCCTCTCGTGTTCCTATTTACACACTGAAGAGATTTTAGCATGTGGAGACAGAGTAAAATCAGAGAATCTGTTATATAATTAATATGAAGTAAATGAATAGTTGCACTGTTCTCACTGAACTGCATACATCCTTAACAACAGCCAAATGCAAATATCTCTATATCAGAGCTGTAGTACCACCTACCTTCCTTTTGCTGGTGTTCCAAAGGAGAGATAGGACTTTCAGAATTTTATATTAAACAATGTTTTTTTTTAAGAGTACATATTTATTGCAATTATTATTAATCTTTCCTTCTCTAGATATCCATCTTTCCTTTTCTTGAAAGATATGAAGTGGAAATCAATTATTACTTTGAATCATTGATCTGATTATGATGTTAAGTAAAAAAACAGAGAAAAGGAATCTGCAATTGAAATTTCCTCATATTTGAGATTCTTTTTCTAAAGAGTATAGATTTTACTCCTTGCTAGTCTCACAATGTTGAATGCATTAATTAAATAGCTGGTCATTACATATTCATGTACATTCATTATTGAAAGGGTAATAAAACATAAAAGCTGACTAGTGAAAGAGTAAACCTGCCCCAGTTAAAGGCATAGCTGTTCGTAATAATGATGAAATAAACTAATAACAAATTATACAGAAACAATGTCTTTTCTCACTTTGTTTACTTACTGAGCTGATTTACTGCAGATTTGGAACACTGTAACAGAGAACAGAATTTGGCTCTTTTTAAATTTCAAATAGTATAATCTGATGTAGTTCCATAAAAGTAAATTCCTACCTGCTGAGGATTGAGTCTATTATATTTTTAGAGCCCCTTTTATCCTTTCTTTACAACCATTATATAAGGTACCTCTACGCTCCTTCTGTAGCAATACACAACAGGAATTGAGAGAAGGCAGAATATAATTCTGTGTCTACATCAATGTAAATCCAGTATATGCCAACCACATCAACTCAGCTTCATTTTTTTGGTAGCATTAAAGCAAGAATTATCATTTAATCCTCCCAGCAGAGACAGAGAACAGTAACTGGCTATTTTAGAATAATCAGGGCTAAACTACAGCAGCTGCCTGTTTGTATTTGAAAAGTTATATTGGCAGAGCTTTTTTAGTGGCTGTAAAAGGTTGCTAGCTTCTGACTTTATATCTTCTCTAAAGGATGAACCACAAATCTTAGTGTTGTCAGTGTCACCTGTAGGCACAGGCCCACTACTTGGTTTATGACAAAGAGAAAATGCCCACTAGTGATTTACCAGCTTCTGAAATACTTACACTGGTTGGGCCAAACTTTGCTTAATACTTTTTATTTCATCTTATGGGATTGCTGAG